ATGTCTCCATTTCGTATTACTTATCTTTCTTTTCCTTCCATTCCTATTTTCTATTTTATTCTTTTAGTCATGATTAATTTTAATCTTATTCTTTTCATTCTTATAACTTATATTTTCATTCCGTCCATTTTCCAAACATTTTAGTGTTACTTTTTCTATTCTTATTTCTTATATTATTATTCTTTCTTTTCCCAATATTTTTAGTGGTACTTATTTCATTCTTATTCGTTAAATACTTATCCTTTCATTCCCATTCATTTAATTGTTAATTATTCCATTTTAATCGCTATATTCTTATTCCTTCCTATCTCAATTTTTTACCGTTACTTATTCCATTCTTATTCGTTATATTTTTATTCTTTCCATTCTTATTCTTTTTACCGTTACTTATTCCATTCTTATTCGTTATATTTTTATTCTTTCCATTCTTATTCTTTTTTTACCGTTACTTATTCCATTCTTATTCGTTATATTTTTATTCTTTTTCCATTCTTATTCTTTTTTACCGTTACTTATTCCATTCTTATTCGTTATATTTTTATTCTTTCCATTCTTATTCTTTTTACCGTTACTTATTCCATTCTTATTCGTTATATTTTTATTCTTTCCATTCTTATTCTTTTTACCGTTACTTATTCCATTCTTATTCGTTATATTTTTATTCTTTCCATTCTTATTCTTTTTACCGTTACTTATTCCATTCTTATTCGTTATATTTTTTATTCTTTCCATTCTTATTCTTTTTACCGTTACTTATTCCATTCTTATTCGTTATATTTTTATTCTTTCCATTCTTATTCTTTTTACCGTTACTTATTCCATTCTTATTCGTTATATTTTTATTCTTTCCATTCTTATTCTTTTTTACCGTTACTTATTCCATTCTTATTCGTTATATTTTTATTCTTTCCATTCTTATTCTTTTTACCGTTACTTATTCCATTCTTATTCGTTATATTTTTATTCTTTCCATTCTTATTCTTTTTACCGTTACTTATTCCATTCTTATTCGTTATATTTTTATTCTTTCCATTCTCAATCTTTTTACTGTTACTTATTCCATTCTTATTCGTTATATTTTTATTCTTTCCATTCTTATTCTTTTTACCGTTACTTATTCCATTCTTATTCGTTATATTTTTATTCTTTCCATTCTTATTCTTTTTACCGTTACTTATTCCATTCTTATTCGTTATATTTTTATTCTTTCCATTCTTATTCTTTTTACCGTTACTTATTCCATTCTTATTCGTTATATTTTATTCTTTCCATTCTTATTCTTTTTTACCGTTACTTATTCCATTCTTATTCGTTATATTTTTATTCTTTCCATTCTTATTCTTTTACCGTTACTTATTCCATTCTTATTCGTTATATTTTTATTCTTCCATTCTTATTCTTTTTACCGTTACTTATTCCATTCTTATTCGTTATATTTTTTATTCTTTCCATTCTCAATCTTTTACTGTTATATTTTATTCCATTCTTATTCGTTATATTTTTATTCTTTCCATTGTTTTATTCTTTTTTTTACCGTTACTTATTCCATTCTTATTCGTTATATTTTATTCTTTCCATTCTTATTCTTTTACCGTTTTATTCCATTCTTATTCGTTATATTTTATTCTTTCCATTCTTATTCTTTTACCGTTACTTATTCCATTTCTTATTCGTTATATTTTTATTCTTTCCATTCTTATTTTTTTTTCTTATTCCATTCTTATTCGTTATATTTTTTATTCTTTCCATTCTTATTCTTTTTACCGTTACTTATTCCATTCTTATTCGTTATATTTTTTATTCTTTCCATTCTTATTCTTTTTTACCGTTACCTTATTCCATTCTTATTCGTTATATTTTATTCTTTATTTTATTCTTTTTCCATTCTTATTCCATTTTTATTCGTTATATTCCATTTTATTCGTTATTTTTTTTATTCTTCCATTCTTATTCTTTTTTACCGTTACTTATTCCATTCTTATTCGTTATATTTTTATTCTTTCCATTCTCAATCTTTTTACTGTTACTTATTCCATTCTTATTCGTTATATTTTTATTCTTTCCATTCTTATTCTTTTTACCGTTACTTATTCCATTCTTATTCGTTATATTTTTATTCTTTCCATTCTTATTCTTTTTACCGTTACTTATTCCATTCTTATTCGTTATATTTTTATTCTTTCCATTTTATTCTTTTTACCGTTACTTATTCCATTCTTATTCGTTATATTTTTATTCTTTCCATTCTTATTCTTTTTTACCGTTACTTATTCCATTCTTATTCGTTATATTTTATTCTTTCCATTCTTATTCTTTTTACTGTTACTTATTCCATTCTTATTCGTTATATTTTTATTTTTCCATTCTTATTCTTTTTACCGTTACTTATTCCATTCTTATTCGTTATATTTTATTCTTTCCATTCTTATTCTTTTTTACCGTTACTTATTCCATTCTTATTCGTTATATTTTTATTCTTTCCATTCTTATTCTTATTTTTACCGTTTTATTCCATTCTTATTCGTTATATTTTTATTCTTTCCATTCTTATTCTTTTTACCGTTACTTATTCCATTCTTATTCGTTATTTTTATTCTTTTCCATTCTCTTTTTCTTTTTACTGTTTTTCTTATTATTTTTATTCTTATTCGTTATTTTTATTCTTTCCATTCTTATTCTTTTTACCGTTACTTATTCCATTCTTATTCGTTATATTTTTATTCTTTCCATTCTTATTCTTTTTACCGTTTATTCCATTCTTATTCGTTATATTTTTTATTCTTTCCATTCTTATTCTTTTTTTACCGTTTTTTCCATTCTTATTCGTTATATTTTTATTCTTCCATTCTTATTCTTTTTTTACCGTTACTTATTCCATTCTTATTCGTTATATTTTTATTCTTTCCATTCTTATTCTTTTTACCGTTATTCTTCCATTCCGTTATATTTTTATTCTTTCCATTCTTATTCTTTTTTACCGTTACTTATTCCATTCTTATTCGTTATATTTTTATTCTTTCCATTCCATTCTTTTTACTGTTCTTATTCCATTCTTATTCGTTATATTTTATTCTTTCCATTCTTATTCTTTTTTTCCGTTACTTATTCCATTCTTATTCGTTATTTTTTATTCTTCCATTCTTATTCTTTTTTACCGTTACTTATTCCATTCTTATTCGTTATATTTTATTCTTCCATTCCAATTTTTTTTACTGTTACTTATTCCATTCTTATTCGTTATATTTTTTATTCTTTCCATTCTTATTCTTTTACCGTTACTTATTCCATTCTTATTCGTTATATTTTTTATTCTTTCCATTCTTATTCTTTTTACTGTTACTTTATTCCATTCTTATTCGTTATTTTATTCTTTTCCATTCTTATTCTTTTACCGTTTTTCCATTCTTATTCGTTATATTTTATTCTTTCCATTCTTATTCTTTTACCGTTACTTATTCCATTCTTATTCGTTATATTTTATTCTTTCCATTCTTATTCTTTTACCGTTACTTATTCCATTCTTATTCGTTATATTTTTATTCTTTCCATTCTTATTCTTTTTACCGTTACTTATTCCATTCTTATTCGTTATATTTTTTATTCTTTCCATTCTTATTCTTTTTACGTGTTTTTATTCCATTCTTATTCGTTATATTTTTATTCTTTCCATTCTTATCTTTTCGTTACTTATTCCATTCTTATTCGTTATATTTTTATTCTTTCCATTTAATCTTTTTACTGTTACTTATTCCATTCTTATTCGTTATTTTTATTCTTTCCATTCTTATTCTTTTCGTTACTTATTCCATTCTTATTCGTTATATTTTTATTCTTTCCATTTTTATTCTTTTACCGTTATTTTATTCCATTCTTATTCGTTATTTTTTTATTCTTTCCATTTTATTCTTTTTACCGTTACTTATTCCATTCTTATTCGTTATATTTTATTTTTTCCATTCTTATTCTTTTTACCGTTACTTATTATTCTTATTCGTTATATTTTTATTCTTTCCATTCCTCAATCTTTTTACTGTTCTTTATTCCATTCTTATTCGTTATATTTTATTCTTTCCATTCTTATTCTTTTTACCGTTACTTATTCCATTCTTATTCGTTATATTTTTATTCTTTCCATTCTTATTCTTTTTACCGTTACTTATTCCATTCTTATTCGTTATATTTTTATTCTTTCCATTCTTATTCTTTTTTTTTGTTACTTATTCCATTCTTATTCGTTATATTTTTATTCTTTCCATTCTTATTCTTTTACTGTTACTTATTCCATTCTTATTCGTTATATTTTTATTCTTTCCATTCTATCTTTTTACTGTTTATTCCATTCTTATTCGTTATATTTTATTCTTTCCATTTTATTCTTTTTACCGTTACTTATTCCATTCTTATTCGTTATATTTTATTCTTTCCATTCTTATTCTTTTACCGTTACTTATTCCATTCTTATTCGTTATTTTTATTTTTCCATTCTTATTCTTTTTTCGTTACTTATTCCATTCTTATTCGTTATATTTTTTATTCTTTTTTCAATTTTTTTCCGTTACTTATTCCATTCTTATTCGTTATATTTTTATTCTTTCCATTCTTATTCTTTTACCGTTACTTATTCCATTCTTATTCGTTATATTTTTATTCTTTCCATTCTTATTCTTTTTACCGTTACTTATTCCATTCTTATTCGTTATATTTTTATTCTTTCCATTCTTATTCTTTTTACCGTTACTTATTCCATTCTTATTCGTTATATTTTTATTCTTTTCCATTCTTATTCTTTTTACTGTTACTTATTCCATTCTTATTCGTTATATTTTTATTTTTCCATTCTTTATTCTTTTTCCTTATTCCATTCTTATTCGTTATATTTTATTCTTTCCATTCTTATTCTTTTTACTGTTACTTATTCCATTCTTATTCGTTATATTTTTATTCTTTCCATTTCTTATTTTTTACTGTTTATTATTCCATTCTTATTCGTTATATTTTTTATTCTTTCCATTCTTATTCTTTTTACCGTTACTTATTCCATTCTTATTCGTTATATTTTTATTCTTTCCATTTTATTCTTTTTACCGTTACTTATTCCATTCTTATTCGTTATATTTTTATTCTTTCCATTCTTATTCTTTTTACCTGTTACTTATTTTATTCGTTATATTTTTATTCTTTCCATTCTTATTCTTTTTTTTACCGTTACTTATTCCATTCTTATTCGTTATATTTTATTCTTTCCATTCTTATTCTTTTACTGTTATTTATTCCATTCTTATTCGTTATATTTTTATTCTTTCCATTCTTATTCTTTTTACTGTTACTTATTCCATTCTTATTCGTTATATTTTTATTCTTTCCATTTTATTCTTTTTACCGTTACTTATTCCATTCTTATTCGTTATATTTTTATTCTTTCCATTCTTATTCTTTTTTACCGTTACTTATTCCATTCTTATTCGTTATATTTTTATTCTTTCCATTCTTATTCTTTTTTTACTGTTACTTATTCCATTCTTATTCGTTATATTTTTATTCTTTCCATTCTTTTCTTTTTTACCGTTACTTATTCCATTCTTATTCGTTATATTTTTTTTATTCTTTCCATTCTTATTCTTTTTACCGTTTTATTCCATTCTTATTCGTTATATTTTTATTCTTTTCCATTCTTTATTCTTTTTATCGTTACTTTTCCATTCTTATTCGTTATATTTTTATTCTTTCCATTCTTATTTTTTACTGTTACTTATTCCATTCTTATTCGTTATATTTTTTATTCTTTCCATTCTTATTTTTTTTACCGTTACTTATTCCATTCTTATTCGTTATATTTTTTTTATTCTTCCATTCTTATTCTTTTTACCGTTACTTATTCCATTCTTATTCGTTATATTTTTATTCTTTCCATTCTTATTCTTTTACCGTTACTTATTCCATTCTTATTCGTTATATTTTTATTTTTCCATTCTTATTCTTTTTTACCGTTACTTATTCCATTCTTATTCGTTATATTTTTTTATTCTTTCCATTCTTATTCTTTTTTTACCGTTACTTATTCCATTCTTATTCGTTATATTTTATTCTTTCCATTCTTATTCTTTTTTACCGTTACTTATTCCATTATTTTTATTCTTTCCATTCTTATTCTTTTTTATTTTACCGTTACTTATTCCATTCTTATTCGTTATATTTTTATTCTTTCCATTCTTATTCTTTTTACCGTTACTTATTCCATTCTTATTAGTTATATTTTTATTCTTTCCATTTACAACCTTTCTATTGTTGCTTATTTCATTCTAATTCGTTATATACCTATTCTTTCCATTCCCACCCTTTTTGTGTTTCTTATTCCATTCTTATTCTTTATATTGGTATTCTTTCCATTCTCAATCTTTTTACTGTTACTTATTCCATTCTTATTTGTTATATTCCTATTCTTTTCATTCTCAATCAATTTTTTGTTACTTTTTCCATTCCTATTTGGTATAATCTTATTCCTTTAATTCCCAATCTTTTTTTGTTACTTATTCTTTTCATATTCGGTATAATCTTATTCTTTTGTTTCCCGTTTTCCTTATTGTTACTTTATCCATTCTTATTCGGTATATATGTTTTGTTACTCATTCCATTCCGCTTCTCCATATTTGTATTGCTTTCTTATATGTTCATTTCTTATATTTTATTCTATTTTATTCCATGTTTATTCCTTCAATTTTTTCTTTTATTCTTCTTTCTTGTTTTAATTATGTTACTTTACTACACTTTTTCTCTTCCCGTTTTTCTTTCCCTGGTTTTTCTTTTTTTCTTTTTCTGTCTTTATTTGTAAATGAATATATAATCGAATTCACGTTTCCTCCTTCATTATTTCTTCTCCGTGTATTATTCATCGTTAACGACGTTTTTATCTCTTGTATTTCTCCGCAAATCCTTAGCCTCCATTTCTCTCTCTCTCTCTCTCTCTCTCTCTCTCTCTCTCTCTCTCTCTCTCTCTGTGGGTCTTTCTACTCATTCATTATGTCTCTGAATGTTTGATAGACATTCTAGCCTCGATCCAGTTTCCTCTGTTACAAGTATTCTTTTATCTCTCAACATATTTCTTTCACCGTCCCTTTATTCATGTTGTCGAATTCTCTTGTTCTTGTCCATTTGTCATTTCATTCCCTCTTTCTTAAAAAAAGAATCAATTTGGTTTACATTTTAATGCCTTCCTCACTTATAATACAATTTCTTTCTTTCTTTCTTTCTTTCTTTCTTTCTTTTCTACTATCAATACTACAACTCATTATAGCTTCCTTTCTTTCTTTCTTTCTTTCTCACTCTCGCTACTAAAACTTATTATAGCTTTCCTTCTTTCTTTTATTCTACTCTTACTATTAAAGGTCATTAGTGTTTGCTTTCTTTCTTCTTTTTCCACTTTCCCTACTAAAACTCATTATAGCTTTCTTTCTTTCTTTCTTTCTTTCTTCCTCACTCTCCCTACTAAAACTCATTATAGCTTTCCTTCTTTCTTTCTTTATTTCTTTCTTTTTTCTACTCTTACTATTAAAGATCATTATAGTTTTCTTTCTTTCTTCTTTTTCCACTCTCCCTACTAAAACTCATTATAGCTTTCTTTCTTTCTTTTTCCTTCTTTTCAACTCTCACTATTAAAGCTCGTTATAGCTTTCATTCATTCTTTCTTTTTTTCTTTTCACTCTCACGATGAAAATTCTTTATAGCTTTCCTTATTTATTATTTATAGTTTTCTTTCTTTTATTTCTACTCTCACTATTAAAGCTGATTATAGCTTCCCTTTCAATATATCTGTCATGGGTCCTTACCTATAACTACAGAATGAACTCTTTCTAACACTATTTATACTACGCCTCTCAAGTGAGAGGGTCGTATTGAGTCGAGTCGATAGTAGTTCACTCCAAACCAGACTGACAGTCATACTAACACATTCCACATCTTGTATTATTATTTCGTGTAATATACCTTCGTTATTTCTACTCTTGTGTTCGTGTTGTTCTTCCTTGGTTCTAACCTGGACCATAACTGCGGCGACGAGGATATTGAAGAAACAAATTCTCCGACAATTCCTCCAATGAATCCCTATTTAACAAAGCTAAGAAAGACTATAAAACGGCCCTAAAAGATAGCGGATTCCCAGCAATACTCACATACTCACTACAGAATACAAAAAGACCAACAGGAGAAGAAATATCATATGGTTCAACCCACCGTACAGCAAGAACGTAAAACAAACGTAGGAAAATATTCTTCAAACTCTTACACAAACACTTCCCAGAATCAATCACCTTACACAAGATATTCAACAAAAACACAGTAAAAATCAGCTACAGCTGCACCGAGAGCATGGCACAAATAAAAAAAAGCACAATAGGAAAATTATCAACAAAACCACGCGAACAAATTAAACCCACGTGCAACTGCAGAATAAAGAACGAATGTCCCTTAAACAGAAATTGTTTACAAAAACAACGTAATATACCAAGCCACGATAAAATCACCAGATAATGAAGAAAAAGTATACATAGGAGTAACTGAAGGACCCTGAAAAGCAAAAGAAATTATACACACAAAAACATCGTTCACAAATAGTAAATATGCGAACAGTACTATGCTTTCTAAGTATATCTGGGAAATAAAAAACAAAACGCACATCACACCAAAAATATCTTGGAAGATAAGGAAAAAGTCATCAGCCTACAACAACCAATCAAAAACTTGCAAACTTTGCTTGGAGGAAAAAATAGCTATCATTACTTTCCCCGACCAAAATAAATTATTAAATAAAAGATCCGAGCTCATCTCAAAATGCAGGCATGAAAATAAATTTTTACTACGTAGCCTAAAAAATGAAAAACGGAAAAAATAAAATAAAAACAAACAAATACACTAATAAAATAAAAATAAAATAAAATAAAATAAATACTATGTTGCTTAAAAAACCGAAAACCGAAAAGAGAAAATATACAAATAAATTGAGCTAAATTCATCCAAGTAAATAGACAAACCAATCCCAAATTAAAAACTGTTCCCGCCAAAAAAATAATAGTTAGAATGAACTATAACAACCAACCCCAAAATTGAACAAATAGCTTTAATTAAATTCTCAAACCAAAACAAAACTGTTAAATACGTGATATAAACAAATTTTTACTACGTTAATAAATAAATAAATAAAATAAGAAACAAAAAAATAAAACGAGAAATATAATTTGACCCAAATAAATAAACAAAGCGACTTCGGTAAAAATAACGATTTAACCGCCATAATAGAATACCCACAATGCACCACTAACCCGTATATATATAAATAGCCGAGAAAAATAACAGCATATGTGGCCTGACGATTGCATATAGCATGAAACAGACTGTCGCCTCTAAGTGTTGACTTCTATGTTCACTTTTATATTTACACACGCTCTATCTCTGATATTGAACACTTTATCCCATAAATATAGCACACCTTAACACTATATTTCTTTATATATATATATATATATATATATATATATATAGATACACCTAGTGAGCCAGACAAACCTACCTAGGTTTCACCTAAACAGGTCGTCAGGGAAAGCTTGGCTAACAATGTTTTGAAAACACATATTTATAGGTGATAGCTAAAATCATCCACGTGACAAAAAACAAAACAAAAAAACAACCTAAGTGGGGGGGGTAAATATTTTATTCAACAAAAAAAATCCTCAGTGGAAAGTCAATAACGGGAAAACGTCTAATTTAGTAGCCATGATTTTTTATGTCTACATACATTGAGAATTTCAGTTTTAGAGTTCAACTCTAAAACTGAAATTCCACTGAGGATTTTTTTTTTTTGTTGAATAAATATTAAACCCCCCACCACTTAGGTTGTTTGGTTTTTTGTTGTTTTTTTTTGTTTTTTTTTTTTGTCACGTGGTATGATTTTAGCTATCACCTATAAATATGTGTTTCTCTTTGCCTCGTTAGCCAAGCTTTCCCTGACGATCCGTTTAGGTGAAACCTAGGTTGGTTTGTCTGGCTCACTAGGTGTATCTAGGTCTGCTCTACGATTGTATTGAGCTCTTTTTGTTAGTTAGTTGTTACTGTATCGGGTTTTTTTTCTTTGGGCTTCAGACCTGCATCTGTGCGATTTTTTGTCGGCAGAAGTTCATGTTTGTAGCTCTTTCTTTTTTTAAAACCTTTTTTTCCCTCGAAATTGATTTGATTAACAAACCAAAAATTCGAGGGTTTTTCGAAACGACTTTAGTTATCTATATTTATATTTATATTTATATATATATATATATATATATATATATATATATATATAAAGAACCTTTTTGCTATCGGTCGTCCATAACAGAGTCGACGGAGATATTGAGGAAAAAAAACACAAGTTCTACGCGAAGATAAAGGATAAAAAACCTTTTGGACACCAACCATAACAGTGGTAACGAAGACACTAATTTTACCTGTCAGCCAGAATAGAATAGAATTCTACGCAGGAAGATTTTTTTTTCGTACCAAGGTTCCAGAACAACAGACGGCAAAGACCTGAAGTCTACACTGAGAAAAAAGGAAAAATCGTTACACAACTCTAGCTACAAAGTAAATATTGCGAAAAGAAAAAGTAAGTGGAAAAAGTGAGTTTTTTCCACCTCTTCTCGTGACAACAGATAACCTGTGTTATTATTAAAATTACGGTGTAAACATGGAAAACTTTAAGGCAACCTTATTGGAACTAATGAAAATGCAATTCGAGCAGCAAAAAAAAAAAATGGAGAAAGACAGACTATGCTCGAAGAAATTCAACAAAAAAAACGAAGAAAAGCAACTCGAACTACAAGAATTACTACTACGGGCAGTAACAAATAAAGGACAAAATTCTGAAAATGAAGCGGCATTCTCGAAAAATGCTATATGGAGTTCAATCAAAGACTTCACTTATGCTCCGGACGAAGACAAGACCTTCGAGGCTTACTTGAGAAGATATGAAGATTCATATGAGTTTGATTGCAGGAATTGGTCAGACGCGAAAAAAGTACGTCTACTACTGAGGAAACTAGGGTCAAGCGAATACACTAAATTCGTAGACTACATCCTACCGAGGAAAACGAATGAGTTGACTTTCAGGGAAGCCGTGAAACTTTTAACAGAATTATTTAGTTCGAACATTTCACTATTCCACAAAAGGTGGAAATGTTTGAATATAACAAAAAAGGATAGCGAAGACTATATAACATTCGCTTCCGTAGTAAACAAACATTGCGATGACTTTAAGTTATCTGAACTCAGCCTTGACAATTTTAAAAGTTTGATATTCGTCCAAGGCCTGGTTTCGACTAAAGATGCGGAGATCAGACGGAGAATTCTTACAAAACTGGAGAGGGAACCAAAACTGACGCTACAAAAATTGGCTGAGGACTGTCAGAGATGTATAAGCGTAAAAAAGGACTCGAAAGATATAAAAAACACTGGCATCGCTCACATACAAAACGTACAACGACAAAAACGTTTTTCTCCATCCTCAAAAACAAATCAAACTAATTATTTTACTACAAAAAATCAAATGAAACCTCAGAAGAAACCACCACCCAGTCCACGCTATCGCTGTGGGACTTTACATTGGTACAAATATGTGTCCATACCGCTATAAGACTTGTCTGTCGTGCAATAAAGTAGGACATAAAAGTTCGCACTGTAGAACCAAGAAAGAAAACAAAAGCCGAGTAAGAGTCACTAGAACTGACCAAGCGGACGGGATAAATATACAAAAATATGTACAAGTAGAAATGTTAAACAAAAAATCAGATTACAATTAGATTTCGGGTCAGATTTAACAGTTATTAACTTACAGACGTGGAAGAAATTAAACAAACCGACCATGTTGAGAACAGATAAAATAGCCAGGTCGGTAACAGGAAGAAAAATCAAATTTGAGTGGGAGATTATCAGAAATGTGACGTTCAACGGGATGACCAAGAAATTAAAGATGTATGTTCTAAAAAAAATTAATTGGAACTGACTGGATGCAGAAATTTGACCGCTGGGATTTGCCAATAAATACGTTCTGCCAAAAAGTGGAAAGGTTATCGACCGAGGCAGAGAAATTGAAGGAGAAATTAAAGGAGAGTTTCCCCAACGTATTTTCAGCCGGCCTCGAGAGGTGTAAAAAAATGACGGCCAAAATCGAACTAAAAGAAAATGTACAACCCATTTTCAAGAAGAAAAGAAATGCACCTTTCACATCATTAGAAAAGATAGACAGACTCGTGAAAACCTGTATATTGACAAAGGTGGAATATAGTCAATGGGCCACACCTACGGTTTACGTGAGAAAGAAATCGGGTGAGATACGAGTATGCGCTGATTTATCGACGGGATTGAATGCAGCGATTAAGGATTGTCACTATCCTCTCCCTAGTCCAAAGTAAGTTTTCACAAAGTTGAACGGAGGAAATTTTTTCTCAAAAATAGACTTGAGCGAAGCATACCTACAAGTACCAGTAGATGAGGAAAGCTCGAAGTTGTTGTGCATAAACACACAGTAAGGATTATATAAGTTCCAGAGATTACCATTCGGGATCAAGGTCGCGCCGGCGAT